ATGTCATCGTCTGAATTCCCAAGGGCGCATTCCCTGTCGATGCTGGGATCCGTAGAAAACACCCTCCCAAACATCCGACCAAGAGACCCTCTGAGCCTCGCAAGTGTCCGACGTGACGCTCGACGGTCCAAGCGGGGCGTGCACTCGGGAAATAGTCCGACCCCTCGGTTTAGACCACTTATGCACGGGGCCTGGCTGAGAGCGACGGCGCCCACGGATCCACCGCGAGAGGGATCAAGCACGCGCCGAGGCCAAGCGTCACACTTCGCCCTCGGCCATCCTGCCGACGCAGCCACCGAGGAAGCGCAGCAAAAGCAGGATGCCCAGGCAAGGGATGGGAGTGGATCTGATCTACGAGGTAGGTGGGGACCATGCAAGCACCATGAGGCATGCGTCTTATCATCCTTCCCTCCTTGCCCTCATGCAAGACGAACTGCTATCAAAACGCCCAGCTTCGCCAACGCGCCGACTGCCGTTGCCAACCGCTCGCCGCGCAATGTAAACTCTCATCTGCAGGAGACGCAACGCAAGAGCGGCCTTGGTAGCAGCTGGCTTGAGGCGAGCCACCGCGCCTCCTGCGATCGATTTGGCACATCGAGGGCCTGCGCCCCCCCCGTGCACTTACGCCCGGAGCCCGGCTCGACGCCAGACAAAAATGACAACTCAGCCCCGGTCCCTCGATATGCGCCTCGATATATCTGAGCGCAAAGAGCGCCCACCAGTCGGGCCTGACGCACGTCGGGATCGCCGAACCTGCGCTGCCCATCTGCGAGCGTGATGTTTACCCAAGCAAGCTCTGGGTCACCTCGGGCGCATTCAAACTAAGGCTCAGCATCGCCATCATTACCTTGACTGTCCGTCCGCTCGGACACGGTGGGCCCGCATGGGGAACGGCTGGGGGCCCTTCAACACGGCGACCTGCCAGGCCCGAGCCCCGGGCCCGACGGTGGCGCGCACGTCGCGATGATTACGTGGAGGGAACTCTGGAACTGCCTCGGGCTCTTGCATGACGGAAGCTAGAACATCACTGACGAGGCGTTGCAACCACACGTGCACTCAGACGCTCAGGCCACCTGGAGCTGTCTAACGCGTCGGGCGAAACGCCCAAGTCGCCCCCGACCGTGAAAGGCAACTTGTGGCGCGAAAGACACATGCCGAGCGCCCGGAGCCGCCTGGCATTGGAAGTCCCAAGCTTCTCACCCTGTTCAAGATAGACAGAGGCAGCTATGAGGCCCCGTCGCAATCCGCCCTGGATGAGAACAGCGACAACGTGGCCAGGCCCTAGGACACGCGAGTCAACAAACGACGAAAGGAGGGTCGCTCCGACGTGGCTCCGCACGAAGAGCCGGCGCCAGCACGGCAGGCACTGGTGTCGCCAGGGTGCCCTCGGCAAGAAACGGCTTCCAACCGTGGCTGGTCGCCCACTCACTCGCCCGATCAAGGCGGTCGCCCCTGAGCTCGCGCTCCTGGGCGTAGACGACGCGACGCCGCAACCTCCAGTGAGTCCTTCAACTGCGGCCAGCCGCTGCCATGGAACGCGACAATGCGGAAGTCCTTGCGCCCGCCGCCCTTCGGAGCGCGTCTGAACGGCGGCCTGGAGCTGGAAATGGCATGGGCCCGCGCGCCCACCATGGAGCGGTCGCGCGGCGGCGCCTGCCTCGGGCGGGGGGGGGGGGCATCAGGGTGCTTAGCGAGCTCCCCCCCTATCCCCCCCTGGCCAACGCGCCGCCCCTCAAGGCCGCCAGGCCCCGCCCGCGCTGCCCCCCCAGCAGCGGCGCGCCCCCCCGCCCGCGCTCCATCAGAGAACGGAAGGCCCACGGGCACCTGGGCAGCCATCCAAGATGTCGGAGGAGCCAAGCTCGCCGTCGAGCAGGTCCCTGACGCAGAACTGGCCCGAGTCGTCACAGATGTCGAAGCTTCTCTGGCGGCCAGATGGGCAGACGGGAGGGGCCTCTCCAACGCGGGCGATCCAGGCCCGCCGTCGAAGCGCAGGGCTGGCGCGCGCCCGTAAGTCCCCTGGCAATCCACCACCAGAGACACATAGCAAACGAGCGCGACACTCGCCCTCGGCGTCGACGTCGTTCCGCGCAGGCCTCGCAGAGGCAGTCAAAACCACGGGGCCTCGAGGCGCGGGCCCCAAAGGAGACCCGCCATTAGGGCAACCACCCAAAGAAGGACGACCCCCCGAGGCCCCGACACGACTGCTTGCGAGGCCCTGCGCAGCTGAAGCGGCCCCACACTGACGCGCAAGGCAGCACCAATACTAGAACTAATGTCTGAAGACTGGCCCCAAGCCCCAGTAACTGAGTGGCATAATCTGACGACGCGGCCCCAAGCCCCAGTTGCTGAGAAGACGTGCCACCCCCACGCGCAGTTGCACGCGCGACCCCCCCCCCAAAAAAAAAACGTCATCTCATCGCCAGAACTGACTCTCACACCATCCTGAACACGATCTGAATCGCCATCAGCCAGGTGCTGCGTCAAAACTGCGCGAGAATCGCGCCGACGTGCGTCAAACCGAACGCCTGACCATCCGCCACCGAGCAAGCCCTGAATTCACGGAGATCACGCGGTCTGAAATCATGATCTGGACCCCAGCACGGCTAGATACTGTCCCACGACGCGCCCCCTGGATAGCACGCGCAAGCTGTGCCCGCCGGCGCTGCTGGCCCCGCGGGCGTTGCAGGCGCTGGATGCGATACCAGGGCAGGGGCAGGGGCAGGTGAATGTAGTAGTAGGTCGGATGCAGAGACGGGCCCGTTCAGGTAGGCCTCGATGCCTTCCATGGTGACGATAATTGGAGGCGCCAACTGGGGGGCTGCCCGCGACGGCTCCATCTGTCGCTCGCGGCCCTCGAAGGCGCGGTGCAGCTCCACGAGGTGCGCGCCAATGGACTGCGGGGCCGCCGCCGCACTGCCAGCCTGAACTGCCGTGGGCGCTGCTGCAACCAGCGCCTGCAAGTTTCCGGAAGCCTGCTCCACATCTTGAACATCACTGCTGCTGCTGGACGCTGGGGCGCTGGCTGCCATGACCGCGGCGCGAGCCGTGCTGACTTCCAGGCGAGCTGCGTCGACCTCCTGGGCCAACGAGACCGTCTCGGCCCGCTTGGTGTCTAGCTGTCCTTGCAGCTCGGTGAGCTCAGCCTCGAGAGCGTCGTGCTCGCGCTGCTTGGTGGATTGCCTGTCAAACGCTCTCCGAAACATGCCGTCTGGAGTACGACTGGAGCGCTCCTGCTGCTCCGCGAGCGCCGAGGCAGAACGCCTGCCGTGGCCAGGAGGGGTCGCGCCGCTGGGATCTGGCCGCCCCTGCCCGCCCCTGCCACACTGGTAACAGCGCTCGCTATCAGGAAGGTTGCGCTGTTGCCCGTATACAGGAGTCGCCACGCAAGCCCAGCGGCCCCTAGGGCCCTTGGCCTCATCTTGGCGATCGGCGCCCTTGCCCACGACGGCGGGCGCGCGGGGGCCGCGATGACCTCGAAGGACCTGAGCAGCACGGTGGAGACGAACGAAGAACGAGACGGGCTCTCCCACGCTTCCTCCGAAACCGCCGACGCCACCCAGGGGACGGTGGCCTCCGACGACGCTTTTCGCACGGAATGGCCGCAGTCGCGGGCGAGGCCAGCAGGGCGGGCCGCCTGCCTCCTCCGCGAGCAGCCTCGCCGCCGCCCCAGCGGCCGCGAGCGCGCCAGGCAGCACCTGGGGTTGGGAGCTTCCCCGACGGCGGGCCCCCCCACGCCCCCGCAAGCAAAATGGCTGCAGAGGGGCGGCGGGGACCGCGCAGGGAGCCACCCAGGAGGAGGAGGCGGAGGAGTGGGAGGGGGAGGGGGAGGAGGAGCAAGAGGATGAGGAAGAATAAATGGGGAGAGCGTTTGCATATCTGTGTCTTCGATTTGACGCGTGCAGGATGCGCCGCCTGAGACCTCTTGAATGCCTGTTCGGGTATCTGGGGAAAACTCTGGGCAGCCTCGTGAATGTTGACGCCTCTTGGGGCTCCGTGTTTGGCCATCTTGGGTCCTCTTGGGGAGGTTCTTGGGGGTCGGGGTCCTCTTGTGGCGAAGGCCTCGAAATGCGGGTTCAAGTTCCCCCTCCCAGAGGACCCTCTCGGGGCCGTCTTGGGCGGTCATGGGTGCCTCTTCGGCTACCTTGGGGCCCTCTTGGATTCTTTTAGATTAAGGCCCGGTGGGGGACTTTTTTCTTATCTTATATTTGGCGGCGCAGAACCCGAACAGAACGACGCAAGCCGCGGGCAGCGCTCGCGCAGTCTACAGCCAACCTAGAAGAAGCACCAACAGTGGCCCGAGAGGCCTCGGCTCCGCAGGAGGTGTTGGAGGAGGACAAGGTGATGAGGAGGCATCCAACTCCTTGATGTAGCCGGCTAGAGATGTTGTTACAACACGAATATGTAGAAAATGAGGCCCGGAATCAAGGGCTGGCCGACCCCGCCCTAAAGCCTCGGCTCCGCTCTCAGGCGGTAGTCGACACCGCAGATCCGTGGAGGAGAGAGCTGCAACGCGGTCGCGCGGAGGTTGCTACCGCAAGTGACGCCCCTGGCCGTCTGAGTTCCCTTTCGTCTTAAGAGCAAGTGTCTTCTGGCACCACTCCGGACTCTGCGCTACGTTCGTCTGGTCGCCCTCCCCCAATAGATCCCCGACGACGCATCCTGTCAGCCCCAAATGCTTCACGTACACGTTCAAGTACTGCAGGCCACCGTGCGCACGTCCACGAACGACTGTCAGCTGGACCTTGCCAAAGACAATCCACTCTGGAGTCTCGCCGGCGCGTTCCGATGCGCCGCAAAGATACCAAACAACCCTTTTTGCCTGTGCCCAAGACCACGTAGTACTGATTCCTTGGGAATACATATCCGAATCATGATCTCCCAATTGTCGCGCATCGGTCTGCACGCGAAGCATTGTACTTTCAGCGCTCGAGCCGCGAGGGATGCTTACAAGAGCATGACTGCCTGGCTGCATCGAAGTCGAATCGCTGGCAAAGCACAACTTACAGGTGGGGATCGCCCACGGTGGAGGAGGCTCCCTCAGTCGCAGCTGGAGTCGCTCCAGTCGGTGGCGCGGGCGTCGGGATTGGCGTCGGTGCTGACAACGGGCACCTTGCCTGCGCAAGGGCTTCGCTCGTGTCTGAGAAACTCACCTTGTCAGGGCTCAGGGCATCGATGCTGCAGTCGTAGATCCACATGGTTTCACTGGCGATTTCGAGTGTCTCTCCCGCTGCCAGAGTGGTCCACAGCCCAGTCATCAGATTGGCGTCGGGCTGGAAGTGCACGTGGACGCGGTCGAGCAGCGTCAGATGCGCAGAAGCGAACTTGTCGTAGAGGGCGATAATCCCTATGTCGTCGATACCGTACCAGGATGGCGTGTCGGCCGTGCGGAAGGAAAGGTCGGAAGCGCCCACACCTGCGACGAAGCAGGATCCCCAACACATGCATCGCACGGAATTTTCATCATCAAGAATGGTGCACCAGTCGGCCCTTCGTTGAGAGCAGAGATGTTAACCGTCAAGTGGTTAGACACCCGAACGAACTCCTCTACCTCGGCTCCTGTGAGCCAACCCATCCTGTAGCACGCCACTACATTCGGGTCTGAGTCCCGCCACACCCAGGCCCCAATTGTGCCCTAGTTCGTGAAAGATCGTATTCCTGATGGGGTTGGCGGAATCCTGCGACCCCCCGTCCAAGCACCAGTTGTAGGGAAATATGCGCTGGCAGAGAAAATGCTTCCGAATGCAATCACCATCGTATGAATGTAACTCCTGGTGCTGGTCTGTGGTTGATATAATGGCTGGGAGGACACACTGCTACAGAGTGACCAAAGGTTTGCTCCCCAAGTTGCTAGGTCCTCTGTAGACTCCATCGTGAAGAAGTCGACGTTGGAGGACGAGATCCAAGTCGTGTGCCACGAACTATGATACAGAGTCGTCAAGACCGGGCGCATCCCAAAACAAACCCTGGACCTCCGAGAGAGTCTTAGTGGGAGTTGCCCCCTGGTAGGTCAGGTAGACGTCTAGGAATGGCCCGTAGTCCCCGAGGACGGAGTCGACCATAGCTCCGGTGCTGCCAGTCGGGGCAAAGTCCTGAATGTCAACGTGGGTGTTCAGGGAGGTTTGAACTCTTTCTCTGGACTCGGCGCAGCATTCGAAATACTGCCCTGCTTCTGTCCAGTGTTCAGGTAGCCGGATTGCAAGTGCACACTAGCCACTTGGACCAGTCGACACTACATGCATGCATGCATGCATACATGCATACATTCATCCATATATACATACGTGCATGCATGCATTAATGCATACATACAAACATGCATACATACATACATAAATACACCCACCCACCCATACATACACACATACATCCATACATGCAAACACAAACATACATACACTCCTGCATACATACTTTCATACATCCATTCGTACACCTGATCATACTCATAGTCCCACTCACACTCAGACTCATACGCATACTCATACTCATACATACATACTGACCAACCTACCTACCTAAATCTCTACCTGCCTTCCGACCGACCTACCTAACTGCCTTCACACATATATGCATACATGCATGCAGGCATGTATGCATGTCTACATATGTACATGCATGCATACATACGTGCTTACATACATGCATGCATGCATCAATACATACATACATACATACGTACATGCATACATGCATGCATGCATACACACATACATGCGTGCATATATGCACTGAGACAGACAGACAGACAGACAGACAGACAGACAGACAGACAGACGGACGGACAGACAGACATACAATGCATGCATGCATGCATGCATGCATGTATGCATACATACATGCACACATACAGACACACGTACCTATGTGCATCAACACATATACACATACACGCATGCCTACATGCATACATAGAGACAGAAAGACAGACAGACTGACTGACAGACAGAAAAACAGACCTACCTACATACATACATGCATGCATGCATGCGCATAGATGCCAACCTGCCCTACATACATCCATGCATGCATGCGTTGATGCATGCAAGCATACATGTATGCATGCACACATACATAGACATGCACATGTTCAGACATCCATGCATACATACATACGTACATACATGCACATACAGTCATACATACAGTCATACAAGCATAAATACATACATGCATACATACTTACACGTACATGCATACATACAAAAAAATATGCATTCCTTCATAGATACATACATGCACACATACATACAGGCAGGCAGGCAGACAGACAGACAGACAGACAAACATACATACATCCAAACATACATACATAGGCCGAGCCCTCACAAGAAAGAATCCACCCGAGGGGTTCAACCATGCCATGCGCATACCCAAGCATGGGCAGCGTGGGCGGGAGGGAAAACGAGGACAAGAAGATACGCCGACAGGCCAGTGCGACAAAAAATGGAGGCAAGACGAGGCGAAGCGGTGCCGGAAGACCGGCGAACACGAGAAGCAAGGCAGGCCAGGGAGGCGCAGCGTGGGCCAAGAAGGCCGCGAGTGCACACACGTGTGCAAATTTGCCGTCCTCTGCGGGACGCACAAGGACATACTAGTACTATGCGTCCTCCCTGGAGGTATGCGTCCGACCCAAACATATAGTATCAGCATCTTTTAGTAGGTTCCCAAGCGGTACGGCCAGAAAGCGCCCGCCACAGAGCATGTACTATAAGATTTCTCGGCGCGCTCGTCGCCCCTTGGGGGGCGACGCACACGTAGTATTACCATGTTGGGGTGACGTGCCGATTCTGCTCTCCAGCGAGAGAAGCACGGGTCTCCTCGCGGGCCCGCAGCTTCTGCAGCTCGGTCCGCGCGTGCTCGACCTCCCACCCACCCACCCCACGTCCGCTCCTCATCGCTGGGGGCTCCGTGCGTCCCCGCCCTCGTCGGAGGTGCCAGCGGGCTGGCCCCGAGAAAGGGCCCTCCTCCCTCCCTCCCTCCTCCCCTCTCCGAGCACGGGGGGGGGGCGGTTTTCCCGTGGTCTCCGCCCGCCCGGGACCCCCTCGCGCCACGAGGAGACACCGGCCTCCCAGGCAGCCTCCAGCCTCCCCGGGCCCCCGACTCGGCTGCACGCCAGAGAGGCTCTAGGCAAGAGTGACCTCTGGTGCGCGGCTTTCAGTAGGGGGAACGAAGAATGACATAAAGATAAAAACTAAGAGGTCCGCGCAGATTTCTCGGATCGGCGCTGGGGCCCCCTGGCGGCGCCTCCGACGCCGCCCCTGGCGCGCTCCGCGCGCCAGGAGGGGGGTCCAGCGCCGATCCGAGAAATCCGCGCGGACCTCTCAGTTTTTATGTTAATGTCATTTTTCGTTCCCCTACTCAGGAGGCGCAAGGGCCATCAGCAAGCGCGCAAGCCGCTGCTGTCGCATCGCATTCAGCGATCGGGGGGGCCCCGAATGGGCCACAAAAGGGCATTCTGGCGAAGGGTCACTCGACCTGCCCGGCTCCAGGGCCGTCGAAAAACGACTCAAGACTGAGACGCGGACCGAGGGCAAGCGGGCCGAGGGCAAGAGCTCCATCCGGGAAGCTGGACGGTGGCCCCAGCCCACCGAAGCTCGAGGCCGAGGCCCCAGGACCCCACTCCGTCTGAGCCTTACTCCTCCCCTGCTGCTGCTGCTGCTTACCGAGAGGTGGTGGAGAGTGGAGTCTGACGGGGACGAGGAGGAGGGTGAGAGGTTCGGGCTTCGGGATCGGCGACCTTGCGAGGTTCGGAGCCGATCCTGGAGGGGAAGGTGCCTGGAGAACCCCCGATCCTATCGTGCGCTGTTTCCGGAAGCGCGCGGTCCGCCAGCGTCAGCGAGGCCAAGGCGCGCTCTTGGCGGGGGGCGGCGCACACGGCGCGCAAAGGTTTGCAGGGCGGGTGCAACCAGAGCGTGGCGCTAGGTGCTGCAGCGGCCCCCTCACGGGCCACCCGAGCGCGCCGGAGCGCGCACTTCTGTGAAGCGTCGGGAGGGGCAGCTGCCGCCACAGGCTGCCCCTCTCTTCGCGCCAACGCCGACCGCCGAGCGCCGAGCGCCGACGCCGTCCTGCTAGCTTATGGATTTGGACCCAGGGCCGAGGCCGTAACGTTGGGCCAGCGCGCGGTGGAGCCCCGCACTGAGGCACGGGCCCGACAGGCGGGAGCGGCAAATATGGCCGAAGCTGATGCTGATTTTTGTTTGTTGGTGGGGGGGGGGGCACGCCGCTGGCCCCAAGTGGGCCAACCAGGTCCACCTGTGCAAAAAATGTACGTACCCCCGCTTCTCCCTCGATCAGCACCCCCTCATTCACTCGCTCCTCTTCCTTCCTTCACGCCACCCTCCCCTCCCGACCGCTCTCCCCTCCTTGTATGGGCAGTGAACCTCCAACAACAACAACAACAACAACAACAAACAACAACAACAACACAACAACAACAACAACTAACTACTACACTACTACTACTACTACTACTACTACTACGACTACTACTACTACTACTACTACTACTACTACTACTACTACTACTACTACTACTACTACTACTACTACTACTACTACTACAACAATTACTAGCACGTGGGGACACACCGTTCTCACCAGTGCCCGGGTTTTCATAGGAGGCGGGCAATACCCCCACTTTGTGGGGGGGCCGGTTCAAGCTCTACCAAATTTCCAAACGACTCTTCGCCACCACCCACACCCAGCTTCCCGCCCTATGACGTTCGGACACTTCACTTCGTGGCATGCGGACGACCGTGGCTACTATTCAGGGCCCCGCGGCCGACGACGACGGCGTGCGCGCGCGAAGAAAAAACGAATGTGTCCCGCATGGTATTATTTGACAGGGATGATGGCCCTGGCAGGTGCGCAACCGTTGTTGCAGAAGTTCGAAAAAGTTGCTCGCAAAAGCCCGTTTGACAGAAATGTTTAAAAAGTGTTGGGTTTCCTACGAATCCGCAAGAGCGCGCGGGATGAATTTTGACATTTTTTTTTGAAAAACCATTGGTTTTTTGATGTTTTTATGTTAAAATCGCTACGAAAACTAAGGTTTTGGAAGGATTTCGTCTTGCGCGCGCGAATGTCCACTTTACCTTATTTTTTGCAAGGGATTCTTGAAGTTTGGTTATGTTAGAACAAGAAATGTCCACTTTAGCTTATTTTTTGCAAGGGAAAACCGATCGTAACAACACAACCGGATCCGGACTCCCCCGTTTTGCCTGAGACTTCCTCACGAAAATGATGAAAATGAGGCTGCGGCCTAGGCGCGGCGGGGGGGTCGTGCACCAGGGGCCCCAACAATAATTATTCTTTAGAAGTAATAATGTTCAACAACAACAACAACAACAACAACAACAACAACAACAACAACAACAACAACAACAACAACAACAACAACAACAAAACGGACGACACCGACGACGTCCGTGACGACGCCGACGAC